GCTTGTATCATTTTCCTTTTGATCTCTTTTATTCTTAGAGTTGAGTCTACTTTCAGAATGCTCTCATTTGTTTACATTTTGGCTATATTGTATTTTTCAAAAGAGACAAAGATGAAGTTCTTATTCTGAAAAAAAATTGAATGTCCTGAGTCAGAATATAATTTTAAAAATTGAGATAAAATCACTTTTGGAATTAAGAAAAGATGTTTAAAGGAACAGACTGGTCCTTAAATTAAATAAATTATGAGATTTTATTGCAATTGTAATTTGACTCCTAGGTTCTACCCTGAATACAAGCAATTCATCTGGCAAAAGAAAGTAGGTAAAACAGTTCTACAAACAAAAGCTGAGGTTCAAGAAGTCTCAGTACAATCTTGATGTTCATTTCAATTTCCTCAAAGAACAATGTGGGAAGAATACCAGGTACTTCAAGCTTCTACTCAGTGTTTGGGAGAAAGCAAGGGCAAAGTGTATGCACAGGAGTACCCCTACACTGCATTAAGGAGAAGGGGTCACTGCACTAGAGCAATCAAAATGCAAGCAGTCATGTGTGTGTTGTGCTTGTAACATGGGGGAAGCACAGACCTGTGAAGGGGAGGGTTCTTGAGAAAACAGCCCTTCTTTTTCTTAAGTGAATTATTACGGTCATATACTTAGATTCATGTTGCTCTGTGTGAAAGAATTGATAGGACAGAATTTAGGATGCATCTTTGGCTGGTATCCCTTGTCAGAGGCACAGAGTCAAATAGGCTGCCATCAGTTTTTGCCCTACCATATGTGCCTGTATGGAGCCCTCTCAATTCCATTGGTATTTTGGAATCCAAAACTTTTCATGAGTCTTCAGGGTTCACCTTGCCTCACTTTATCAGGTTAGACTGAAATAAAATTTTTCCTTAATACTTACCCTGAATTTCCTAAGCAGTACAGACAGAAATTTAAACTAATCAAGCATTTACCCAGAACACAAACTGTGATTCTAGATGATTTTTTTACTAGGTTTAGCATCAATTAAAGTGAATACACAAGTGAATTTTGTAAGTCCTGTTTAGCTCCAGCTTAGTGGATGAATTTCTTAATTCTTGAAGGATGGTTTTTGTACCCAAGATGCAGCAGAAGGGCTCTTCTTGTTTTTCTGTATTTGTTTAATCTGTTTTCAGAGAATTATCTACAGTGACTCCTAACTGGCAATATCTCATTTCAAGCTTATCATCATCTGTTTGTGTATAAAGTTAGGACTGTGTTTTCCCCATGTGCATGACTTTGCATTTATTGAATTGAAATTTCATCAGCTGCTTTATGTCTCAATCACTCAATATCACAAAAGCCTTCTGTGACTCTTTGCAGCCAATTTAGTTTTGACAAGTTTGAATAATTTTATATCTTTATCAAACCTTGATGTCTGGTGCATCTCTCAACTTGCTGGATTTTTCAGGAGGATGCTGCAAAGCAAAAGCAATTCTTCCCATGGTGATTCCTCTCTATTGTGAGAACTGAACCGTTATTTCTACCCTTTGCTTCCTACCCAACTGTTGGTAACTCATACTGCCTGTGAGAAAAAAAATTTCCTCTTATTTCTCTATAGTTTGGGTTGTTTAAAACACTTTCATGGCTGTCCTCTAAACTCTTTCAGAGTTTTGGTTGCCTTTAATACCCTGGACTACCATCATACCATGTACTTTCAAGCTTCTTCAAAGAACTCTAAGACTTATGAGAAAGCATTCCTTGTGGTGTGTAGCTCTTTGGTCATGACACACACAAGCCCTGGAAAGCACCAAGCTGCTTGTTGGAAGCAGTAGACGGGGATGCTGAAGGGCTGCACCATTGACTCTGCCACTGTGTGGGTCAAAAGGACCATCAGGGGGGAGCTGTCACTGGAGTTGGCTCCTGAGATATGCTGGGTGTGGGAGCCAGCTGGGATGGGGCATTGGAGGGCCCCATAGCTCTGCCCTGCCTCTGGGGCTTTTGAGTCCCTGGGGGCTTGCTCCTGCCAGCCAGGGTGCTTCCTCCCACTGTGCATCAAAGGCAGAACTTGACTCTCTCAGGCGGGTCTTCTCTCATCTTTCTTCCCTGGCTAGATGACTTACAAGACACAACTTTCCTCCTCACATCGCTTCCTAACACATGATCAACATATCACATTTATTTTTATTTACCATTTTGTCAACTACTGTTTACCTTTTATTTTTGTAACAACTCAATTTTATCTAGTTTGAAAGAACAAATTTCTCTTGTACTTTCAATTATAGCTGTCCTACAATTTTGGACTGACAGAGCTGACGAGAAGTAACACTTAGCTCTCAAGAGCAAGATTTGAAGAGGTCTCAGGAGCTATCGGGGCTCTTATAAGCTTATGTACTATGTGTGTGCCACACACCAGCTAAAAGACTCCATGGTGTCGGTCACAAGCAGGTTGTGCATCAAGCCACACGGTGCTGAGCTGTAATGCTGATGTAACCATGAATTATCTGTCCCAAAAGAAGAGCTGCTGATGAACACATAAGGAAATTAGCATGTGCTGAAACAGCTACATTTGATGTAACAGAAATACTGAAATAAGAATAGAAAATGACATATTAAAGCTTGTCACAATGTTATTGGCTATAATTTTACTAAACTCAATTATTTGTGTTTGATTTTATTTTTTTGCATGGCTACATTTCCACAGCCTTCTCTGTGAGATCTGTGAAGATTCCCTTTAACACTTTTCTTTTTTGTAAGTCTTTTATTGTTTTTAGGTTGTCTTCTCTGAAGTTTCATTTTGTTTCTAAATTTTACCTACCATGATTTTACTAAAAAAACTAAATTGTTTTTGAAAAGAATCTCCATTTGTGTCTTAGCCTAAGAATCTGCTCTCAGGCTCAGATCTACTGACAAATGCATTATTCACCTCTCCTTGAAACAACCTATAAATCAACCTGTAATATGGATCACACACAATCAAGTTAAGTGGTGTAATGAGATTATCTGTAGTCTTAAAAACTAAAGTAAAAGAATTGGAAGAATGAAGTTCTGAGATCTGATGCAGAGTTTGACAGATCTGATTCAGTGCTGAATAACTGTAGTTGGCAGGTAAATCTGCTAATGCTTTTCTTTAACTGGATGATTGCAGAAGCATTTTTGGTCTGAATAGCCAAACAGATGTAAAATCAATGCCTTTTATGTTTTGCCTGTTCTGCTTTGAAATAAGGAATCTTCATATATTGGCTGTAGTGGAATTCAGCCACTCAAATGCCCACAGAATAAAATCACTCGGGTCAAGATGTGTTGGAATCATGAAGAAAGTAGTCCTACAAATCTAAGCATTGCCATTATTTTTTAAGCACTGCATGAATTAAGATGTAGAAAATTGGCTGCCTCCAAGCTGCTGTTTTCAGGCTTATCTTTCCCAAACTGCAAAAAGAGATCAATATGTTGGATTTGTTCTCCCAAGAAGAAACACTTTTAGTCATCTGTACAACAAAATCTTACATCTGTTCCTACTGTAACATAAATGTGTCTGTCACACATTGGTCATACAGATTCATTGTGTATGTACTCCAAAAATCCCAAGGACAAATTTACCAACGGAGCCAGGGTAGCTCCCAGTTGTACCGTACTCTCTCAATTACACAATAGGGAATCACTTATGCTTCTTTCCACTTCCACCCCTTGAACCAGCCTCCAGTTCTCAGTCCATACTTCATTATTCTTGCTGTTGTTGTTATTATTATTAATTAGCCTCTTACACTTCTCTCTTTTTTCATCAGTCATATCTTAACAGACCTGTTTTTTCTCAGTCTATATTATTTTATTTTTGGAGAAGAAAATGAGTCAGAATGAGAGCACTTTTTTTGGTTAGCAATAGACAGCAGGGACAGAACCAGTGGGAACAGCATACATTAAGCAATATCTGGAGATCGGGGCAAAACATATTTGATACTGGCCCTGATACTGGCCCTAATACTGTCCCAGATGCTAAGTAACAGTTCCAAGGACTTCTTGACCCTAATGCAGTTTATCTATTTAGTCTAGCCTGCAATAGATCTTCCAAGTGTTTAACTGGTCTCTCTTTTAATATATCTCTGATTGTAATGTTATTCATAAAACAAGTTCTTTTAAGCTTGGATATGTATAATGATTAAATAACTTAAAAATGGAAGTATGTCTATTTTGAAATATAGAATTAAAAGGACCACAGTTATATTAGTTGGGAATAAAAGATTACAAATATCCAATTTGGATTCATAGCAAATACAAATAATTGTGAGGGATGTGCACAGTTAGTTTTTCTTTAGTTTTTAGCTAAGAGATGACATCAAGTGTGTCTGCTTATGAATACATATCAACCATAATACAAACTCTACTGCATATAAAATTTGACTTAATTATGTGTTAGGAGACAGCTTGCATCTGTAATTATACTACTATTTACTATTGTACAAAACTCCATTCTGTACTAATCACACTTAACAAACAGAGTGCTTAATGTTATTATTACTGGGAGACATACAAAACAAAAGCCATTTTCTAATTCCTTGGGTGACCGTATTCTATTAGTAGTGAAATATCACGTAATATCTGAATCATACTGTAAATCAAATTGTTCAATGCAGATTAGATGTCATATGTACGTCTTCTAGTTTTCAGATTCAGCCAAACAAAAAGTGTATTTCCTGACACCAGTTTTCTGCCCTGTTTTTATGGTAATGTGGTTGTCCTTGACATTCTGGTTTGGTGTTACAAATGTACACCATGACCTAAATACCACAAAAGAGCACCATGGCTAGTTTTTCATTTAAGACATGTATAATTCAAGGTATGAATAGACATATTATGTTTTTTTCTGATCTTAATCATGTTTGTATTTTTATCAAGAAGTTTATTGAGGAGTATGTTGCTTTCCCTTTCACTTTATAGGATACCTATCTGAATTTATTATGAATAATGTATACCACTTTGCTCAATGTGTGAAAAAGTCCAGATTGTTGGACTGGGGGAGAGGAAGAGGCCACAATCATCCATTCCTTTTCATTCACCAAGCTCTTTATTCCAAATGGTAGAGGGGCAGCAGCTATGCTCTGCTGTTTTGCGGGTCTGGAGGATCATCAGGGGCAGCCGTGCGCTCGCCTGCCCTCAGCGGGGTTGGTTCCTCAGAAGCACTGGGAGCTGGAGCTGGCTGGGATGGGGCATCGGAGGGCCCTGCAGCTGCCTCCTGCCTCTGGGACCTTTCAGTCCCCCCGGGCTCGCTCCTGCCGGCCGCGGGTGGGTTGGTGGTGGGCCGCCTGCGCAGGTTGTAGCGCCGCTGCAGGGCCTGGCAGCGAGGCCTGTCCATGGCCGCCCTCCTGCGCAGGCGGGCGGGCAGGCCGGCCACGTACACCTGGTAGTCATCGTCCCCTCGCACGGAGTGCAGCACCTCCTCCACGGGCTGCCTGCACACGGGGCAGTCGTCTCGCCCCCTGGCCCACTGCTGGATGCACCTAAAGCAGAACTGGTGCATGCAGTAGGCCACGTAGGCTGGCTTTTTCACGTCTCCCAGGCAGATGGGGCACTTGGAGCCGGCTGCTGCCTTCAGCGGCCCTGCCCGGGGTGGCTGGCGTGGGCCACCACCCCCTGCAGCAGAGGTGCTCTCCCCCATGCTTTCTTCAGCGCTCCTGCCATATCCTGCCTGGATGGACGCATAAAGTGCTGGAATTTGTTTGGCAGGAAGGTCACTCAGGCGTGCTTGGGGTGTTGAGCTGTTGTCTCTCACCAGCGCTGCAACAGTGGATGTCACGCAAGAAGAGGGAGAGAGGCCACAGTCGGCTGGCCCAGCAAGGGGTGGAAACAATGCCAAGGTCCCCCAAGAAGGAAACCTTCCCAGCTCCCCTGGGTGAGGTTTCCCCTCCAAGACCACCTCTACTGCTACAAGCACACCTCCTGGGTGCCCCAGCTGCCTGAACCAGGGAAAATCCTCCAAGAGCTCTGTGCTTACACACTGAAAGCTACCAGCATGCCATGCTAGATGCCCAAATTTAAGCCTGGTCATTTGTGACATCATGGTCCTTCACTAGGTGGATTGGATCTGCCACTGGTGACATCAAAATCCACCACTATGTGACATCACAATGGTCCATCCACACGCACAGCACTCGGCCCCAGCAGAGGCGTCTGGGGCTGTCACTGAACTGCCCACTGCTTCCCCCCTTGTCTTGTGCTCTGCATTACTGTTTCACACCAGTCACTGGGGCCTCAGATGTGTCTTCCCAGGACTCTAACAGCTCCAGGAGGTTTTGACTTTTTGTTTTCATTTGGCTCAGCAGCTTGCACACACGTTTATTTAGCATAGCATAGCATAGGATTGCATGGAATAGTTCTAGTTGTTAGGGACTTACAACAGGCATGTAGTCCAGCTACCTAACTACTCTATAGCTGACCAAAGCTCAGTGGTCAGACACTGAAAAGGGGCTTCCTAGAGATGGCACATGAGATCCTATGAACACCATTGTTAGCAAGTCAAAGCAACCCTGCTGCAGACAGCAAGCCTGTTGATGTGTTTTCCAGCTATTTTTTCTGCTCATATTGCCCCTTTCCACTTAGCCATGTGCTTTGACCTCAGTCCAGCCAAACACAAAACTACAGCTACTCAGGGGATGATTTATTATGACAAGATGCACAACTTCACAACATGTTTTGCTTAGACAGTAGTTACATACCAACAATTTTGCTACGGAAAAATATAACCTTTTTTAGTTTTTATTTTTTCCCCGAAGGAACTCAAGAAGCTGTTACTTATGCTTTAAATAGTCATATTATTTAAAAAGGGAACATTTTAAAGTCAAATTATTCTCTGACATAGAAGACTAGGCAGCAAACTGTTGGACAAATCGACAACAGTTTTGATCCACTAAGAAATAGAGTAAAATTAGGGAAAAGGTCTAGAATTTTAAGCTTTGCTATTGTTACTAATCTTTCACATGAATCTGCTCAAATCATGGTGATCTCCATATCACTGCCCACCACCGCTTTTAAGTGTTAACAGTGTTCTCAAAAGAAACAAGTGAATGCACAAAACCTCATGAATAGATGCATTGTTCATAATTACATAGTAAAACAAAGATTTGGCTTAGATTGTTTGGTAAATTTATCATATCAAAATGTGATTAATGTGACCAGGTCATGAATAAAAGGTGCTTAAGGGGATGATAACTGAGCATTATGTTTTATCATCTGATTGTCCAGCTGGTACAAATTAAACTCATGTCACTGTATTTAAATATTGTATTACTGTTTGTAAATATGTGTATATTTGTATTTCTATATTTTATCATATTATATACAGAGAGAGAGGGTTTTATATGTTTATGGACAATATATACATTTATAATATATGTTTCTATAAATATATACACATAGTTACAATAGCAAATAATCATGAAAAGAAAAACCTCTGTGTGAAAATAAACAGATTACAACTGGAGTTGATCAAGTCAACTTTAATACAGCTTCTGTGGAGTCTCAACGTTATTTTTTATGTCTTGAGCATTATTTTTCAACTTTGCTTTACCCTTAAGTGTATGATTGCCTCGATATCCTCCTGAGGCAGCACTTTGAAAATGTAGTTGCTTGTTTCCTTACTTGGAATCATCCACAGAGTTCATCTATGTTCCATGCAGCAGAGAAGAAAATAATCAAATAAATGTGCTGAAAATGCCACCTCACTACAAAGTTCTGCCAGGTTTTTTGAAGTAAACCTAAAAATATGTATTTTATTTTGGGAAATCTCCAGGAACAAACTTTCTCTCACTTGTCCTTCTCCCTAAGTCTATTTCTTCTTCTACTTCATCTACGTATTTTCTGGGCCCTGTTCATTTGCTCTGAGTGCCTCCAAGAATGGCAAAAACAATACCATGGTTTTGTAAATAGGTTATAAACCTAATGAGAATCTCACTTCAAGGGACCATGGTTAATCCAAAAGTCATCTCGGTGGGCACAGTACACACTGGCACTGTCAACAGTTAGCAGATCATTCTGTTTGTCGCTCTGTGAGTTCATATAATTTGGTAATAGACCTAGTTTGTAGAAATATCAGCCCCTTTGTGCCAGACTGCCACCTTTCCTAAGCAGACTAATACTGTTGCACATGTGCATGGGTTGTCCTCCTATAATATATATGCCTACCTGAAAGGAGCTTGTAGCCACATGGGCCTCTGTCTCTTCTCCCAGGCAACCAGCAGTAGGACAAGAGGGCATGGTCTTAAGCTCTACCAGGGGAGGTGTAGGTTCAATATTAGGAAGAAATATTTTACAGAGAGAGTAATCAGACATTGGAATGGGCTGCCCAGAGAAGTGGTAGATTCACCGTCCCTGGAGGTTTTTAAGATGAGACTGGATGTGGCACAAAGTGCCATGGTCTGGTAACCACGGCAGTGTAGAATCAAGGGTTGGACTTGACGATCTCAGAGGTCTTTTCCAACCTGGTTGATTCTATGATTCTATGTATGCACATGCACACAGGTTTTTAGTGTTGAAGACTGCAAAAGAACATAGTGCAAATTAAATGTGATCAACCAATATTCTCAAACCTACAAACATATATAATAAAATCACTTAGTCCAGCCCAGTTCTATACTTCAGACATCTTTGCTGTTAGTGAGCTCTTACCATAAAACAAAACAGACCTCTTATCGCTACAGGTTTGCAGTTTACACTTGACTAGTGTAATTTGTTCAGTTGCCCAGGAAAAGTGGGACAGAAACACCAGAACTGGCCAGATTGGATTTTATATAGATAAATAGATGACCCTTGTCCCATAAAATGTTATCACATTGCATCAGTATATAATTCCTTGCTTTGGACAACATTGTATTGCAAGTTTAAAGAGGTTGCTACATTTTTAGTCGCATAGACTAATTTCAATTACATACACTAACTTGCATTTATCTCATTTCATGGGAAGAAAGGAAAGGAAAGGAAAGGA